GTGCGAGCGCGCGCGGGCGGGCGAGCGAGCGAGCGAGCGATCCCGCCAGTTCTTCGGTGAGGCTCGAGGAGGCCAGGTCGACCCTAGCCCTCTGCTGCTTCGTTTGGTGGACGACGGAGAGAGGTTCGGTCCAGTGAATCTTCGGGCAGTGTCGTTTGCGTGCACAGGTCCCCGATGCCATTCGATCAGCGGCGACTGCCGTTCCCAGGGTAGCACGGCGGTCGGTAGCTGGTGAACGGCCATTGCTCGCGTCCGCGGGTAAACCTTCGTACAGGCTGAGAGAGGTGGCTACCCTCTATCCCGTGATCCCCTTGTTGTTGTGCCCGGATCATCCGGCTCGCAGTGGATTCGTGTTAAACGGCGATGCGACGTGACCCTTAAGTGCTCACCCCTGTCATTGACCACATCATCGCCGCCCGGAACCTTGGGGTTGGGGACCCAGCGTTCGTGCTCGTCCGCGGCCTACTGACCTGACCTTGGGTCGGCCCGACCAGGTGAGTAGTATGTTAAACCGCGTATACGCGCTACGCTCGCGTGCGGGGTCGATGATAGCGGTCTTCCACGGGGAAACCCGTCCGCGACTTGGTCCAGCTGCGATTCGATGGGGTGTTCGAGGATGATCCCAGGGGATTCGACTAGGGGGGGACTGCTAGGCGTAGTGTTTCATTGGTGTGGAGAATGTCACCGCGACACCCACACCTGGTTAGCCTGACCGCTTGTCGCGGGACGCGGACACGACACCGGACACCTCGGGCTGCTTTGTTTGGATTAGAGGATTCCGAACGGAGTGTCTGTTGGTCGCTGGATTCGGCCGGTGATACTGTCTTTCGATTGGTGTTGCGGTGCTCTGGACGGGATAGGATTTTGAAAGTCGCGAAGGTGTTTCGGTTGCAGTCTTTGATTGGTAATTTGAGTGGATTGCTGGGGCTCTTCGTGGCTGATTGTGGATAGAGGATGCCTTGGGTTGTTTTCCTTGGATTAGAGGATTCTGAATGGGATGCTTGTTGGTTCCTGGAGTTTTCAGTCAATCATACTGTCCTCTGGTGGAATGTTTTGATGTCTATGGAGAGTCGGGAGTTGGGACGCCGTGTACGGACGTCTTTATCTATCGTCCTCTTAGGTCATCGGGACGTTTAGGTTTCACGTGATAGACTGGAGGAATGTTTTGCACTCGATATATATACTGTCACTTCGTTTCAGTTGAATGAAATAGTGAACCACGAGTTCTGTCCGGCTTTGTTTCGCTTCTATATTGGTGTCCTATGAGAATCGTACCACCCAGTTTGTTTGGAAACAGTTTGTACTCACGGAAAATATCATCGTGGTGTACATTGATAAACTTGATCCGCCGTGAGAAACTATTGGCGCGGTTATATTACATTCACTGTCGATTTCATGTTCACGCTGCGAATGGAATTTGTATAGAAAGCGTACGGCGGACCAGGCGTTTAATTTAACTGCAGATTTTTCTAAATCATCCGGAATACAGGTGATCGACGGACGCCGAGGAATAATTAAGCGTTTATCGATGTTTCGATGAATTAGCATTTCAAAACCGAAATTATCTGTCAGTCGATCGGAATAGCTAGTGGATCGGAGCATTCGAAGAATGCGGAGACCCGCGATATAATTAACAGTTTAAATACCCGAGAATTTATGGGCTGATACGTTAACAGTCCATTACGCTTTATCATCGACCCATTCACTGGGAATGATTTATATAAATTTGAATCGCAAATGTACGCAACTGCCGCACGCCTAAGTGAAAAATATTTTTTTCTTCATGGAACCACCGCGGTCGTGTTATCTTGTATCGCGGCCTGATTTATTCGGTACTTGACAGTGCGTGCCTGTTGCTATTAGTTCCATTTACCTTGGGACCTTAGATTTCTTCATAAACATTATCAAACCGCGATCTTTTTCGTAGTCGTATCACGGGGAGGTTCTCGAAGAAGTGTGTAAGGGGAAAGTATGGTTCTCGGTACAATCTTAAAAAAGTCATCCTTCGAATAAGAACGAAGGTGACACGTTAAACAATTCGTTGTCGTGTTGCGATGAAGACGAAGGATTTGAAGAATAAAATGAATGTCATTCGAGAAACGCTTGTAATAAGTAACCCTTCGAAAGACTTCTCTTTCACGTACAATGTCGCGCGAATCGAGGAGAGAACACAGAATGGATACAAATTTGAGTAATGAAAAGCGACTGTACAGTCGGCGGCCAAGCAGAGGATTGCAGTCAAGAAAACAGCGAACGCATTTTTTACGGTCGTTCTTGCCAGCGGAATTTAATTAAAAAAGTTAACAGGTCGAACACGTTCGCACGTCGCTGTCTATTAGCATGAGAAAATATTGTTGCCTGGAAACTCTTGCCGCACAAATTGTTCCGCAACACGAAGTCGATGAAAATAATGCTCGGGAAATAAGGTTTCCCGAATTTATTATCTCTTTAGCAAATTTTCTAACTTATCAGCACCTCTGGCAAAAATGAATAGAATATTCTCATATCCCTTACATCGTTTATTTTCCTCAAAACAACATTTGCGCGTCGTAACAGCAAGCATAAGTTTTCCAATAAATGATCAATGGCAAAGTAGTATCGATCAAATAATAAAGGGGCAAGCAGATAAAATTCAAAATTAATCTTACCATAACACATAACTACGTGAAATATTTAAGAAGAATAATGTCGTCTATATCTCATCCGAAAACGTCAAGTATTTCCATTGAAAAACTTTCGAGAGCAACCGGTTGATCTCGCTGTAGTTTCTTGAAATTTACCCATTAAAATATCTCGTGCTATAAATAACGCTGCAGTGGAGTCTGTAGAAGGGTTAATTTTCATTAAAACGGGCGTAAAATTTCGCGGGAAAGTGATTTTGGGACGTCGCGCCGCGCGGAACTCGCGGAACACGAAAAGTTGATCGATAGGAGCGTAATGTTGATTTAACGGTGTAATAAAGTCAACGCTTTCGATCGTTATTTGTAATTGGAAGCTTGTCGGAAATCGGTGCTGTTCGCGAACGTTCGTTGCGCCGGTGTTTTGACAACGTTGCACTCGCCCGACGCTGCTCCCATCGTGCGATTGACATGGAGCCGTTGTCGATCCATAAACGACCTATACTACTGCCATTCAGCGTCCCCCGTAAAAGGCATTTACAAAGAATACAATATCCAGCGCAATACTTTCCCCGTTTCCAGCGAGCCACGCCACTTTGAACCGTTAACGTCGTTGACAGGATTAACATATTGATTCGGAAACTAATAACCATAAAAAAGAGACGTTTCTCATGGTACGAGGAATTAGTGAGCCTGGCTTTACTGTAACTTTTGTATATGTACATTCAGTTGTAGTTAATTTAACCAGACACTGTTAGTCTGATTTTATTTAATCGTTTGATTGATGTGATCGGAAAGTCTTTGGATTATTTGTGAATTTGCGAATGCTTATGACTCAAGACAATGTCGCTCGGATTTGGGTAGCTTCAAGGGAATTTTGAAAATCGAACCTGCAATGAAGGGAATTTCTTGGAAATCAAATTTTTAATTTCAGGTGTACCACTGCCTTGCCTTAGGATTTCCCAGTATTTATCTAGTGCTATCTAAATAGTAAACGATTGTGCACAAGAAATTTAACATTTGCTTCTACTTAATCGTTACAAAAATTGTCACAGTATATTTTTCCTAGTTTCCTCGTATACCCATAATATTCAAATGAAGCTATTTTAAAAATCAATTCAAATATTCAATACTTTCAGGGTATCGACAATTGCGAAATGAGAAACTCGTCATTTTGAGGGTTTCGAGGGTGCGACAAGTTAACCCTTTGCATTCGAAAGGCGACTCTCAGTCGCCATTCCCTCCAACAAAATCATAAAATTTTAAAAACATTAAATTCCGCACAAGGCATCAACATGCGAGACATGCAAATAAAATAATCCTCCCAATTTATGCAAGATCTATTCGTACGACAGTTGCAACTGATATTAAGTATGTTTCATTAGAGAACAATAACGAATGCTTATAACGAGGAACACTGTCGAGCACGAAGGGTTAATACTTACAAGTATTTCTTTTATTTCCCGCATACGGTTCACGGTGTTCGCCCGACTCGCCGGCTTGGGTCAACTACTCCGCGTTATTACGCGCTATCGCGGATTTGATCGTCGCGCGGCCTTTGTTCGCGGCATTGAGCAGAAGGTTACTCGATTCTGGATTGCCGGGTCAATGGAAAAGTGTCGGCGGTACTTACGCGGCGCGCGGAAGAGGGGCGCGGTGGTCCGGCGGCGGGAGAGAGGGAGGAGAGAGAGAAAAAAAACGTGGAAATTCACTTTGTTACCGCGCCAGTTGTAATTAGAACGCAAGCCGTCGACTTTTCTTTCGCCCGTTCCTTTGTTTTCCCAGCCAGTACTTGAAAGAAAGCCAAGCAAAGTTGTTGAACTCGAAAAGCTGATGAGCTCCGGGAAAAGCGCGAGGAAATTTCTCTCGTCGGTGTGCCGCGGGATTCCTTAAAGGTTTCCCCGGCTTGGCATTATTGCGCTCGTTATTGTTTGATCGCGCGATACAGGCCGGTCGTGTTGGTACGAGCGGGGAACGGCGTTCTTACCCGGTCCGGGACACGTATCGGATAGAGGCTTCCTCTTTTTTGCTATGATCACGCTGCTCGGGTTTCGACGCGCGATTATACGCGATAGAGGAGTATTTATTTTTGCTCGTCGGATGAGTTTTTCTTTGATCCCGCGGGGATTTGTTTGGATAATTATTTATTCTATGCGCGTATCTCAGGTGTTGTTGTCTAGTAAATTCGATAATGTATATTTGTTTATTGTACACTGATGTGAATTTGAAAATTACGATGAAAATGATAGCAATCGTTCGTTAATATAGATTATTGACATACTTTCTCGGTGGAACTGTAGTTACAATGGAACTATATACTTTCGTCTTCACTGACAATCATTTACCGCGAATTCGGTGATCATTCGTTCGAACAAATTCCTTCGTTACTATTGTTCATTATAACGGCGGGTAATCGAATTATCGATCTGATTATCCATCCAGACAGTCGTAATTAGCATTCCGTTTACATTTTACGCGCGCATTTTGGTACATACCACGGTAAATTTCCCTTATCGCGATGGTGCTTCACGTTTCGCGTGAACTACGCGCGCCGCTGCCGCCGCCGACCCCGTAATTACAACATGACAACATTTCTAGTAACAGACGTCGTATAATTAATTTCCCGTCGATTTTCATTAATTCCCTTCGCCCCTCGTTCCGCCGCGATATTTCGGATTCCGGGTTCGCCGGTTTCACCGGAGCGAAATTTTATTCCATTATCCTCCATTTTTATTACCGCGCGTCGTGCATCTTCGCGTATTTTTCAATTAACATTTCAACATACAGCGTCACGCGAACATGATTACATTTTCATGGACACGGTTACATAAATTATTGAAATAATAAGAGAACAGCGATGCCCGACGGTCCGTGTT